CTGTCATATCGGATGGCCAGCGCCGGGCGGTGAGGGGGAGAGAAGCCTCCCCCAGGACGAGCTGTGTCGGCCGCACGGCGCCCTTGTTGCCATGGCGCCCTGTGCGGCCGCACTACTCGCACACCCCTAAGGCCGGCCCTGGTGACAGCCCCCTTCTAATGTCTAGAGTGCATTCTCTATATATTGCTAAAGAGAATCCACTAGAAACTGATGAGACACTAGAAAATGGATATATAGAGCTGCTCTAGATGGGGAAAACAAGGATATTTAGCCAACAGTAAAGTCTTAGCCAACACAGACAGTACTATCAACCTGGAAGAAAGAGGAATCAAACTATTTGCCCACTTAATCCACCACAACTTAAACGGAATACTTTACATTCTTCACAAAGCCATGGTTCACATACCCTACATGGTACTAGAAATAAGAATGATATGGGCAATTTAGTATTTTAAAAGTAGCTCATACATCAAAATCCCTTTCCAATGTTTTTCTACGTATGCTTCACTTATTTCCTTAAGAGTGGCACATTTTCTGATCTATCAAGCAAGACAAGCTCCTGATTATCCAATGTAAACAGTAATCAGTCATTATTAATAATGCAATCTAACGTAGCAAAAGGTTAATGCGGGATAATAGTACTTTTCACTTAGTATAAACATGTCGGTTTTGTTACTTTGGCTCAAGAATTAAGAGGTAACTGTTGCCAAAAACCCACAAGAGTTTTTTTTTTCTCAAGGCAAACCAAAAAGCAACAATGGCATGCAAAAACGCAATAACTAAACTGGATTTTTATTTGTCGATAATCAGTAGACTGGTGATTGGAATTGCTATGGGTTAACCTGTGTAGAGCCAAGATGTTACTTTAGTTTTGGATAGATTAGAGCAGCCTTTCTCAACCAGGGTGCTGTTGCACACTGGTGGGCTTCCAAGCCTCCTCAAGGGTGCCTCAAAATGTTGTGGTAATGGGACTATGATGTGATGGTGGAATAAAGATTGATGTGTAGGGGGCTCCTGTAAAAGGCGAACTCAGCTGTGAAAGAGGGGGACTCTGATATTAAAGTGGGACTTCTGATGTGAAAAGGGGGCTCCTGATGTAAAGGGGAGGTAGTAATGCAAGGGTGACTCTGATGTGAAGGGGAGAATCTTGATTTGAAGGGGGCACTTTGATGTGAAGGGGGTGTCTTTGGGTGGGGTCTCCCTTAAAATCCATGACAATTTAGGCTGGGATGCCTCGAGATTTTGCATACTTTTAAAGGGTGCCAAGACTAAAAAAAGGTTGAGGAACTCTGGTTTACAGAAAGGTTAAACCCCTATTGTTTTTCATGGTTTGCTTCCTTTGTCCAATGTGAGATTTACCTTCACTTCCTGTCCTAGAGAAGCAATAGGAAATGAGAGCAAATCTTTAAAAAGAGAGGGAAACTCCCATTTTAGACAGCTGTCACTGTGAACAGGTGTCCTCATTAGAAGATGTACCTTCACTTGTTTCTGGTGACAAGTTTAACATTTTGGATAATTTCTTTTTCATTTGTTCCTTGACAAAACCTTAATAAAAATATTGAAAATAAAATGTTGGAATTTCTATTGCTTTCTGTCTCGTTGACAATGATCAGTAGGAATGAGCTCAGGTTCGGAACAAACCCAGTCTAAACCTGAGCTCCTCCAAAACCGGAAAGGAGCTCCTCCCAAACTTGGTAGGAAGTTCTAATCAGCTGCAATTCAGCAACAGGTTGATGTAAGCAAAGGGGTGGGTTGCAAAGAGGTCATTGACCTTATAAGGCTACATGCCTATATTTGGTAAAGGACATTTACCTAATATCGCTATGTGGTCATATAAGGTCAATGACAACAGCACAAGCGTCCCGCTGCTTAGTTTACATGCAACTGTGTGGTAGAAATGTCCATGGCAGTTCCTTTTTCGGGGGGAACTCGATCCGAAACTGAGCTCATCCGTACTCATGAGGAAGAACAGAGAGGGTGAATCTACCTAGTGGTGGCACCAACAGCAATAAACCCCGACAGGGGTTCCAACTCTCCCCTACTCAATCTCCCAAAAAATGTCTATAGATACACTTTAATGCACTTTGTACATTATTTTATTTTTTGTCTTACTTATAACATAGTTTTAAAGGTAAGAGTAGTTCTGTTATTGTTCTTTTCATTCACCATAAAAACTCTGGTATTCGCAGGTATAAATCATTGTAAGTTTTTTTGTTTTTGTTACCTTTTGATGATTCCTATACATATATTATTATTTTTATTTACATGGTGACAAGACACTCTGCTGCTCTTTGTGTCAAAAATGGACACATTTCCCAACACAACAAAGTTAAAAATTTAAAATCCACAACATTGACACACTTCATAAAGCACCAGTATGTACAACAAGTACAAAAATCAATTAATCAATGGATATGCTAGTTTAGGTAATGCTGTTACCTCAGGTCCAGCAGGGCCTGGCAACCCCTGTGGTCCTCGATCGCCAATTTTTCCCTAAAAAAAAAAAATTACATTAACAATGATCATGTTATAAGTATGCTACTGTTATATCTGCAAACACCTACATACTGAAGAGTCAGTACAATTACAGCCATAATTGAAGCGTCAGCACAATTTAAGCAGGTGAACCATTATGACAGATTCCACCATGAGTTACCTATTGGCTCCCTAAATCTTTTGAGGGCTTCAACGATAAGATCTCTGTGTTACAGATCCTAGCCTTAAGCTGGACAACCACAGCTTGAATTTCATCCGTATCCTGCTGAATTGGCTGAAATTGGAGCTTTGGGTGGCCCTGTCAGCATCATTTGGTTTGACAAAAGCCAATTTTTCAATTGACTTTTGTCGAACGAGCCGGGGGAAATGTATTGGCTGAACAGTGCCCACATCCAATCAAAGACAGGCACTGTTCAGGTATCCAGCAACTGCGGCAGCAGTAGCCAGCAGTAGGGATTCCTCTATCTAAGTGATGCTGAAAGAGAGAAATCTAACAGTGTTTGGCTAGCCTTGCATTGACCCCCCACCCTGAGTCTCACTAATCTCATCTTGCAATATTCCATAATACTGATTGATTGACTAGTTGACCAACTGATCATTGAACATTTCAACTCTGCCCTCCTACTTTCACAGACTTTGACCCTTTACTGGGGCTTCATTTTGGGAAAACATGCATCATGCAGGATGCCACCCTGCATAGGGGAAACCTTCAGACACGCAAAGAGGGGTTGACTTACTAAAGGAGTAGAGTATGTTCATTTTGCAAAATGAATGAGGTGGAGATGTGTTGACATCATTCTTCCAATCACACGCAAGCAAACATACTGTATTTTACATTTTCACTTAACTTCAACTTATTCACTACGCTAACTAAAATTAAATGGTACCCACACACCTTTCAATGTGATCTGGTAATGTTCTAATCTGTGAAAAGATGAGCTGAAGGTAGAAAAACTACTGAGCAGCTCCGGCTTTATAGCCACCTCTGTGCTGCCCTCTGGTGGCCCCAAGATAGCTGACTGATTGGGTATGGCATTTGATTTCCCATTGTCAGGCATAGGTGGCCTCCTTACAGAGCATTTTACCCATTTTTATTCCCGCCATAAAACCATATTTCTCCAATCATCTATTTTAATGAAGCATTCTCTTTAACTTCATCACTAACATTGATTCTATTAGTTATGGGGCTCACCACTGGCCCTAACTACATCAATAAATAAATTAATAGAAGAGTGCCTGCCTGTAAACAACAATATTAACCGGTGAGCCAAAAATATGGCCATAAATGAGGTGTTATCAGCCCTTAAAACATACCTGTAATGAGAAACAAAAAATATACCCATGGCCCCTTCATCACTTAATGGGAATTCCCATCCTTTATGGTGCCCCTTCCAACTCAGCTAAGAACCTAGTAGAGAACTTAAAGTGAATCTGTAACCAGACTATAGAAAACATTTGCATATTCTTAATACGCAGTACGGAAAGCTTTTAAAAAAAAAAAAAAAGTTTCAAACCACCTCTGTAACTGCAGGCACTGTGGAGCAAGTCATCTTTAAGTTTCACAGAAGCAGCTAAGCTCTCCCTTTCTCCCCACTCCCAGCAATGACTAAGCATCTCAGCTCACCCTGCTCCCTCATCCCAGAGTTCCCGCTCTATTTTCACAACAAAGGTTAAAAGACTGGAAACCTGCTCAGTCACTGCTGAGAAGGGGAGCTAAGCTGCTGAGAGAATGACTACAGGGCCCTGGTGAACATTGAGGACAGATTTCTCGACAGTGCCTGCAGCTACATAAGTCATCGAGGTCATGTAAGCTTACAGTATTTACTACTTGTTAAGGATATGTAAATACTTGAAAATCTACAGCCTGGCCACAGGTTCACTTAAAGTGTTTCTCTGCCCAGATGCAAACTGGCAAAGGCATCAAAGGCATCCATTGACAGCTGATCATTCGTACAACTAGCCAAACTACATTCCCCCAATTGCAATACATGTAAATACTTTGTAAATTTAAGTCCTTCATCCACAGTTCTCCAGTTCTCTCAGAAATTGCAGAATGAGATTTCTGAGAACTAAGTGACATCTGAGCTCATGATATTTCCTCCACCCCGTGCACCTTCCCCCAACACTTCAGTTGAGATTGATAACACAACTATCCAAACCTCCCCTCATGCCAAGGTCCTAGGTGTCATCCTTGACTCGGACCTCACCTTTCTTCCCCACATCCAATCGCTATCCAAATCCTGCCGCCTTCACCTTCGTAACATCTCAAAAATACGCCCCTTCCTCAACAAAGAAACCGCAAAACTACTTATCTACTCCCTTGTTATCTCTCGTCTTGACTATTGTAACTCCCTCCTCATTGGCCTTCCTTTACACAGGCTATCCCCCCTTCAGTCTATCATGAATGCAGCTGCCAGACTCATTCATCTTACCAACCACTCAGTGTCTGCATCCCCCTCTGCCAATCCCTCCACTGGCTTCCACTCGCCCAGAGGATAAAATTCAAAATATTAAACAGTCACGTATAAAGCCATCCACAACTCTGCCCCCGACTATATATCAGACCTTGTCTCAAAGTATTACCCTAAGGCTGGGTTCACACCTAGGCGTATTGAATATGCCGTCTGTCGCGCTTTGTTTTTTACCACGATTCGCGGTAAAAAAAAACGCGCTTCACGCGCGTTTATAAAGCGCTGTGCAAACTGTTAGCGCTATATAAATCCTGTATAATAATAATAATAATAATCTCAACTCCATATTAAAATATTCTAAGTAGCATTCTTATTGTTGATCTTACTTGTAAACTAAAACAGGCTGACATACCGGGGGTCCTTGTTTTCCTTTCGGTCCTGGTGGTCCTGACAAACCTATCACTCCCTGCAGAGAAAATAAAGCGTCACCACAAGTTTTTTTTTGTTTTACATTTTAGATAAGATGGTAAACATGACATGTAACCGAGCCATTATGTTAACAGAGATTTCCACTAAGGTATGTTTAAATGGAACAAGCGCTTTATGCTGCATGTGACCCTGTTGTTTAACTGAAGTTCATCTGTATTCTCTGCTGGTGAATGTGACAGAAAAGTAGCAAGTTAACATTTTTATTAGACATGTGCGATTCGTTTTGGCAAGATTAGTTTTTCGGACGAATTTTCAGAAATTCGTACATTCGGCTGCATCCGAATCTGTGAATGATAGAAATAACGAATGCAAATGAATACGAATTTCAGATAACAAAAATTTCGGATGCATCCTAATTTCTTCCCCGAATAGGTTTTATTGTGTTAAGCATCAAACTTTGTTAAAATGGAATAAAGATTTAATATACAAAAAAAAAGCATCAAACTTAAAAAAAAAAAAATCTGAACTTTCGTTAGCGGTAGTAGGTACGAATTTTCGTTATGAACGAACTTGTACATACTACTGCTAACAAAAATTCGTATTTCATCCAAATCCGAAACAAATTGACTTTCAGACCCGAATCCTGAAATCTCCCGATCTACTGAGCCGACCTGTGACAGTTTCATTGTCACAGGTCGGCTAGAACTATGAGGTGAGTGTAAATCACTCACCTCATAGTTCTCCTTTAAAGAAAAATCTGAATGAAAAAGAAAATATTTTTTTGCCGGTGCACATGTCTAATTTTGATTCCAGTTTACTTCACCTGATCACAAGGAATGGGAGGAAAAATGTCTAATAACATTAAATTTACAAAGCTTATTATCTAAGTGTACTGCATCAAAATATTCAAATTAGTAAGGAAAGTTGTGAATTAAAAGTGACCTATAGTATAAAAAAAAATAATCCCTTTGCCCTCCTCCCCACCCTGCTCCCAAGAATTCATAGATCTTAAAAAGTCTTCTAAAACTTGTCTTGCAGCATACACTGCTCCGGGGTACCTCATGTCCCAGTCAAGTGACTGAATGGCCATGGCCCACGATATCAGTATCATTAGCTATCACATGACAAATATCTAGGCAGTGAGAACCTGCCCAGATATTTTAGGTATTTTAGGGCCTTCTTGAAATTGGGGCACGGGAAAGAGTGCGAGGCAGATAACATCAGTTTGATAAACTCTCAATTCCTCCATCCACTCTCGATTCCAGCTCATCAGACTAATATATTCTGTCTTTTGTTAAATGAGGGGTTTCCAATGGGTCCACACACCTGTCAAATTTTAGCCAACTCAGCAGGACTTCGCTTAAATTGTACCAATGTACGGCCAGCTTAATTGTTTTTTTTTTAAATAAACTAACTAACTACACATATTTTTATAGTATCAACATATTCCACAGAACTTTTCCCATTAATTTCTACTCAAGAGATATATACAATATGAAGCTCCTAAACACTGTAGCATATACAGAATTTCATTAATCTACCAATGGAGGTATTTTTTGCATCAAACTGAATCTGCAGAGATATGGGGAGGACACACCGGGTCTGCCAACTGTGTTCCAGGTAGAAATAGAGCACATTTGTTCTGTTGTGTTTTGAAGATAAAAAAGCATACTAAAAAAAAAAAGCTTGCTCATAAAATCATAAAACAGAACGATTGGAGATTAGGCTTGAGGCGCTATGCATTGCCTTCATCAGCATGTGCAATAAGCTCTCCATTCATCTCTGTTGAGCAGAGGCTGGTTTGTGTTGATGTACAGGGTGTCAAACTGCACCTCTGGAAACAAAGTTTGAAGGTTTTATGGCAGGTGCTTTGGATGTTGTTTGTACTATTATGACCAGCTATCAGTCTAAGACTATTCTATCTTGACAGAGCTTTCATCACAAACATAATATCCATGTTAATGTGTCAAGCATGACCTACCTTATCTCCTGGATAGCCTGGCTCTCCCAGTTCGCCTGAGAATCCGACTTCACCCTAAATAATATATCATTATAAGTCACAGTATAACAAAAACACTTCTGCAGGTTCTCTGGCAGCAATATCTGTGTACATTCTCAAGAATTACATAGAATTAAAATTCCAATCTTCTGCCAAGTCTTTCATACAGAAAAGGCTTTGTTGTTAATTATTCTTTCAACAAATGTGATTAACTTTACAAGTGTGGGTTTAATGTGCAATAATATGTCACTTTGATAATAGAAATATTTAGATCACCTTATCACCTTTCAGTCCAAGTTGTCCCATAATTCCTGGAAGGCCCTAAAAGGGAAAATAATGATTTATTTTGTTGGCATGACCCTATATGTGAATATCATATATAGATGTTGTATTATAATACCTGAGGGCCAGGAATCCCCGGTGGTCCAGATGGGCCTGCTGGTCCAACGTCTCCCTGCATGACAAGAGACCGAACAATTATCTGTAGTGACGCGGTTACATAGAACGAGTTTAAAGGATCAGTCTATCCAAACTGATATTGCTGGTAGGATGCTGGTAGGCTGCATCTCCCAGGAATATACTGTAGTAATGGGACCCCAAAATCCACATTGCAATGTAAACAAAATGAAAAAACCTTCTAGAATGGTATGACCCTTTTGTACTGGCCAAATAAGGAGGGCGGAGCTGGCAACTCAAATAGTACAGCTTGTCAGCATCCATTCAAAGTTCATCCTTTCAACAAAAACATTAAGGGGGAGGTTACCATCTTCAGATGACCTTTAATGGAATATTTAAAGAATTATAGAGGATGACTTTACTGACGTCTCCTTATGAAAGAGAATGAGAATTATCTGGATGTCACACTAATATAATGACTTCAGTACTTTGAGTCACTGACCTAGAACAAGTATTCAAATAAAGACCTCTGACATTACTCTGACTTTCTTTCATCTTCTTGCTTGTTCCGAATTACTATTTCACAAAGTACTGAAGCTAGAGTCAGCCAGGCAAACAAGGTTTTCAAAGGGAATTCATCAGTGGGAGCCCCATATTTTTCTCAGTGCTGGTCAAACACATCAACTCCCAAGGGGACAACCAGGTTTAGGATCCAATAAATATGCCTTCTTCTGCCTCTAAAGGCCTGCTCATACGTGATTGGCAGTTCAGACCCCTAACACTCCATCTTCCCCCAAGGTGTTAGATCTTATAGAGCACACATGGGCAGCCATGACACTGTGGTGCCAGCAAAACTCACACTTTCTCTGGCATTGTCTCCCAAAGACTTACTGCAGTCAGTCAGAGGTCAAGCACCACTCTTCTTCCAGGATGAATGACGCCCAGCATCCTTCAACCCACTTCCAACCTCTATACCAACCCACTGTGAGGACCTGCCTGCTTCAACAAATCACTCCGGGTTCACAGGAGAATGCTGTTGAGAATAGTGTCATGTCTGTACTTTACAGCATTCAGAACACACCCAGCTTCCTCCTCTTCTGGAGGACAGAAGAGGAGGAAGCTGGCCCCATGCATCTCATCACCAGACTGAATATACCTGCCAAAAAGGTATGTATACACAGATTTAAAAGATGCCTTTGGTAATTCAAAGATTTTCCTGTTCATGTTGGGGATACGTAAAGTGTATTACAGATGACTATGAAGAAACAACATTCTGATCCATAGCAACCAGTAAGATTAAGTGACTTTTCTAGCTAGTAAAACAACAAAACATAACCCCATTTAGGTAAAAAAAGTCATAAAAGCTTGGAATAGTATCGTGTAACATTTCTAACGAGCAACTATAAATTTCCATGCCATGACAGGAAGTCCTTTTCTGCACATGGGAAATGTCTGTCTCTTGGACCGCATTATAATGTGTAAACATAACCAATGGCTCTTTCATTTATTTTATAAGGTGCTTTAAAGGGAAACTGCATTTCAATTTCAGTGTGCTACTTTTTTTTCTCTGTATCTGTAAAAAAATAAGTCAAGGCAACTAGACTTATTTTTTTCCATATACCGTATATACTCGAGTATAAGCCGAGATTTTCAGCCCATTTTTTTGGGTGAAAAGTGCCCCCCTCGGCTTATACTCGAGTATATACGGTATACCATGACCTGGATGAATGAGAACCTTCCCTGACATTTTTTTTCTCTGTAATTTTAATTGTTTACATTTCTCTATTTTGAACACTTTATTACCAATGCTAATATGTAAATGTTCTACGTAGTGGTCATGTTTATATCAGGAAATGTGATTGCTGATTACATACATTAATTGTTTTACTTTATAAAGGCGTTTTAAAGTGGAACATCGGGATTCACCTTCCGCCCTCCCGAAGCGTCCCCCAAAAAAACACATACATACCTTTTTCCTGCAGTCATCTACCCATTCCGGTGATAATCACAGTAGCTTCCTCTTTTTTCTCCATGGGCACATTGTCCCAGGACAGAGCAGCGCACACATAATGATATGTGACTACTGCTCAGTCCTGGAGTACCTCATTACTGTCATTCTACCGATCCTGGACTGAAGAAGAAGCTGGGGAGAGCACTGGAGTGTGACGAGGGTAAGTAGAAACTGGGAATATTTTTTTTAACAGAAGGGAGGGGGGAATCCAAAGAAAATAAATTAGTTAAAGTCCTACTTTAAATCCATTGAGCGAGTCTAGTCAGTCACTGCTGCCACACTGCATAGCCAGGTCCTACACTGTAAGTAAAGTTTGGTCCAGGACCACCCAGCCTGTGATTAGGTAATGAAAGACTGATTGCATCACCTCTGGCTTCTTCCTTCCTGAAAAGTATCCTAGTGCAAAGCAACACAGTGCTATCCCTCCTTCCTCCAGTCTGAGTGCAGCTGTGCCAGGGATTACATGACACCAATAGCCAGACAAATTTAGGTACTTATACTAGCCCCATGTAAACCACATTTACAGGGCTATTCACAAAAGAGTTTGGAGAAGGCAGGAGAAGTGAACAATCTAGGACAACATAGCTGAACTGGAAAGTGAGCTGAATTGGAAGATTTTTCAACCATTTTGTCCTAGATTGTTCACTTCTGCCTTCTCCAAACTCTTCACCTTTTAGTGAATAACCCTGTAAATGTTTTTATGGAACATCCATCTGGATTATGGTGTTTTCTAGAGATCTAATTTGAATTAAACCTATATGGGAAATCCAGGTCAAGGTAACATTCAACAATTTTATAATACAGCCAAAGTTGCATTTGCCAGAACAATCTACTTTTTATCATTCTCCATTTTCAAATGGCACATCATTTCTTTTACCAGTGATTCGCCATAGATGCCATGGAGAACCGCAGCCCTCGATGATGCTGCGCACATCCACTGTCCACAATGCTGACTTCCATCCACTGTCCACAATGCTGACTTCCATCCACTGTCCACAATGCTGACTTCCATCCATTGCCCTCACACCACAGATTTTTCTACACAGTTTTAGGCTGTTTTGGGGTTAATGTATTGACGCAAACAGGCTGTTAACTTTTCAAGGGCACTTTCCCTTCCCTTAGCTTAATGAACGAGGTGCTGGCTTCCATCATCCAATCACGTGCAAACAAAAATACTGTTGTTTTTTTCCCCCTCACACATGATTGGGTATTCTTTGCAAAGTGAATTCTTAACGCATTCACTAAGCTAAGAGAAAATTAACATGCAAAGTGCAAATTCCATTGCAAAGTAAACAGCCTATTTGCCTTTAGTAAACCAACCTTATTGCTTCATACTTCTACCACACTCAAACAGTTCATAGAAATGGGTGCATGCTTGTTTTTGATAGTCTTTTTTTTTTTACTTGAAACGATCCTTCTCTGTATTTTACTTACAGCTACACATTAGAATAAAAGAATAAATGGGGATGTCTTTTGGTGCAGTTTGCCTTACCTGACTTAAAGTGACTATGTCACCCCATAAAAAAAGTAATTTAGTCCTTGTGAAAGAAGGATTTTAATACTTACCTGTCCTGCTGCTTCTACCAGCAATCTTTATTATTTCAAAAGGCCATCAGACACATCCAGGTGTGTCGGATGCCTGATCCTCCACTGCCCACTGTAGTTCCAGTCTGTATCCTGTAGTGGCATAGTGGCGGCTGGATAGGACGACAGCGCCCAGAAAGGGACCAAGCATTACGTCTACTATTACAGGGAGCATTTTGTAAAAACGATCCCGGGACAAAGCGGTGGATGTAGTGTGCACATACCCAAAAGGCTATTTCTGCAGTGGGTTCTTTACAACACAGGACGGTAGTAATCAGTTCACCTGGAGGATGCAATGCTGAACCACAGCAGGCGGTGCAGGGCAGCAACTCTTCTCTCTGAGTGCAAATACTTCAAGTACCAAAAAAAGCCAGCATCCAAACTAGATCTGATCTTTAAGCCTTTAATGCAGCATGTGAGATAAAAAAGAAAATCAGATCTAGATGCGTTTCGGCCAATCTCGGCCTTAATCTTTAGCCTAGGGTTCTTTACAATACGCATCTTGCCTCACATGCGACAGGCTGAATAAGCAGACAACAATGTCTGAGTATGACTATCCTCTGTATATGATTAAATCTACATTACCAACCTACATCTGTGATATAAAAAAATTATATTGATATAATTATAGATCAAAACCAACCGAAGCTGGGAGTGTACATCGTCATGGTCAACAGATGGTGCTAAAGAGCCTGTTTCTTGCACTGTGAAGGTAATATTTACAAAAGTATATACTGTAGTATATATGCAAAGTTGTATAATAATAGCTACATATAGACTTTGTATCCTTTGCGTTTGCATGATTATTTACCACTTCCGACCTATCTTATAGCATTCATGAGGACACCACACACTTAAGATCAAAGACACGTAGACGCAAAAAGCAAACGCTCAGTTTTAATTAGCCTGCCTACTGTAAGCTGCTAAAATGTAATTTCTTAATGACTGCTCTGGGTTACTGTCCATCATTGCTGCTTACACTGCACCACTAAAGGAAAACCTTTGCTTTAAAATGAAGAATTGTTGCAATGAAAGGTTAGTAGTTGAAAGATTAAAGTGGCCTGTGAGTTTACCCAAAAACATTAAGGTGAAAGTTTCATGCAATAGAAGAGGTAGTATACTGACCTCTCCCCTCCTTCCTTGTCAGTCTGATTGGTAGGGATGAGCTCAGGTTTGAAAAGTACCAGGTCTAAACCTGAGCTTCTCTGAGAACATGGAAGTGACATGAGGCCACCTGCCCAACAAGTTGCGGACTGGGGCATTTCCCACACCGCAGCTGCACATAAACAAAGGGGTGGGATGCTTGTGCTGATGTCATTGGCTGTATAAGGTCACATGGCCATAATTGGTCAATGTCATTAACCAAATATACATATATTTATGTGGACATATAAGGTCTATATGAATTCATAAAAGTGAATAATGAGGTCTATAAGGCCATATAAGGTCAATTACATCACTGCTTCTTGCCCCTTTGTTTAAGTATAGCTGCGACCAGGAATTCCCTGGGCACAGCTCATGGGGCGGCAGAGGAAGTAGCTTCCTTCCATATTTGGAGGAGCTCAGGTTCAAACCTAAACTCATTCCTGTTGTTTAGCATTCAACACTTCCAGGATTGTTGCATGCCTTCCATGTGCTATGGTTCCATCTTCCAACCTGTAGGCCACTGCTGAGTCCTGTAGTGATGTAGGGGTTGGAGGGAGGAACCACAGTGTGCAGTGGGGAACACAAGCATCTGATACTCCCAGAAGCGCTGAATGCTGTAGAGCCTGACCGAGGGCACAGCGCTGGAACGGAGGGGAGGTAGGACACATCGGCCACTGGAGAGGTCAGTATAGCAGCTTTTTTTGCAGGACGCTTTCATATTGATTTTGTGTAACCTGAGCAGAGTCACTTATAAGAAAACAAGTCAGGATGTCTCTCCAAAAATACCAGTTCCTTGGTGGTTCCTTGGTGGTCATTTCCTGGCTGGAGGACATCCAGCATAATCTTGTTCTTTCTTCCCCAGCCTGACTGTCCCTGACCTGCCCCTTTCAGTTACTGGATTTTAGTTCTTTCAGTCACGGAGGCTCGGCATCACATATGGGCATTAAAAGGGCAGTCTGCATGCAAATACAGCATGCAGACAATTTGCATAATTCCTCCCAGGATACAGTCCAATGCTGGCATCAGGACTGAGATCCCCTGAGAGGAGTACTGAGGGAAGGTGCTGTGATGTTCTCAGGAAGCTATGTATAGCACCCTGCCGACCCACCCCACCAGCAATGATCTGCCTGCATTGCATAAAGAAGCACAGAGACCCTGGGTCTAAAATAAGGTATGTAATTGTAGCGCTCACCCCCGAAGGAGCCGCTGGATGATCGGGTCTTCTGTTTCACCTCTGTGACACACCACAAGCAATGAACCCACAGCACACCAGCACACCTTGTGAAGTTTTATAACAGATTTAATGACTATGGAATAGAACAAACACTTAACGGCTCCCCAATCACATGTAATACAACCAATAACAGGATAAGGCAATCTGACACGCAGCAGCAATCTATTGCATGCAGGAAAGCCTGCAATGTCAGAATGTCTCAGATAATATACTTAGATTATTCAAAAAAACCAAGAAAGGGCCAGTGGGCCAGCCAGTGTTCTCTGCGCCCTTTCTTGGTTTTTTTGAATATTCACAATCCACAGGTTCTCCTCCTGTTTC